AGGCAGAGTAGGCCTTATATTTATACCTCTGTGGTGGAACCTGCTAGAACATCTTGCTTACTCAGCCTAGTCAGGTGATCAGGTCATATGACCAAGGATGAGGTCATATGAGGTCATGCACAGCCATGCACAGCAGGTCACCTGACCATCCAATCCTTCCAGCAGGTTCCAGCACATGCCAAGGTATACCAGCTACTTCCATGTCATAAAGGCTTAGTCATGTCTCTTGACCAAGCAATGAGCTGGTGCCCTGACAATTGCTTTGTAAGACTCTCCAATATGGGTAGCAGGACCTCCTCCAGTTCACATGAAAGACTGGCAGACCTCTTGTGCTCCTTCACCACAGTCCAGTAAGGCTCAGCATACTTCTTGATGAATGCTGGGTGGGGCCATAAGCAGCTTCTCGGATGGGAGAGAAGCAGCCATTGACTTGGTTGTCATGTTGGCCCCTAGCTTTGAGGGGATGGGAAGTGACTCTGCACCAGGTGCATATCCTGGATAGTCATGGAACGCTGCTGCTGGCATCATGTTGGGTTGGGAGGTACTTGCTTGTGCCATGGGGAATGCTGCACTCAGTCCGAGTGCTGCATTCACCCTCAGCACTCTGACATGTGTCTGGGCCACCTGGTGGTCCATAAACAGGCTCGCCACAGGCACATCAGACACAACAGCTGTTGCATCTGGCTTGCTGGCTTCTGCAAGTCATGCCATTGCGGCTTTACACCTCCAAGAGTTCAGTTGAGTTGGTGCCTTAGTTTGTTGGCACATATGTGCATCAGCCATTCAAACCTGATCAGCTGAACCTGCATGCTGATGGTGCTCAGTGCTCAAGACAGATGCCACTGCCAAGTGTTCCCTCACCCAGTCGTCTGTCAGACACTTGTCCCTCCTGCACAGGGAATCCAGCTCCAACAGTGGCACCCTGTCTCGAAAAAGTTGTTTGCAATTTGCGGGGGGGACAGTATCTGCAAGTATGCTGACAAAGTTGCAGGTAAACAGCTGATTCTTCAAAGACAGAGGGTATTGCCGGAGGTATGACAAGTCAATATAATTGCAGATACCAAGCAGGTTGCAGACCTTGAACTCAGCAACCAACCAGACCTGCTCGGCCTCTTCAAAGGTCATGGGATGCTGGAACAGTTCCCACTCAATCTTCATGCACCAAGCAGCATTGAGGTGTGCATATGTTTGCCAGAGTTCAGCAGAAGGTGCGGTGGAGAGATTGTGATGGGCAACAGCAAATGCCCGCTTGTGCAGTCTCTTCAGGTGGGCCACCCACCTGGGGTTTACCAGTCCAAGGATGGCACATCCCAGAGTATGCTTGATCATTGAGAACACCTCTTGGATCAGCACCACCCACTGCACTTTGGCACTAAGGGGAGATGCTGGCGGGCCTTCGCAGTAAGGTTGATGCAGGTGGAGGTAGTTGAATGGCTGGGTGTATACCATCCAATCCTCTTGTGAGCAACTACATAGCTCTGTGTTATGGTGCTTGGCGTCCCATGGGATCTTGTCTGCATCCCAGGCCAAGCATTCCCCTCTCATTGAGGCTTGATGCAATTCCAGACAGCATTGCCTGCATTTCTGTTTGTTGGGACATGGTGGTAGGACAATATGTGAGCCAGCCTGACCATCTTGATGGACAACAGAGCGCTGCAGAAGCCATCTTTCTGCGCCTGCAGGAGGGTGGGCTTGCTGGTCAATGCCAAATGAGGTTGAGAGGCAAGAAGTTCATCTATCATTTGTGGTGTTGGTTTGGAGGACAAGCCTGATTTACTTAGTGAGTAACTAGCTATGTTTGTACAAATAGAATGTTACACACCTGGATTTCCTTCTTCCATGGCTTCAGCAGACATCCCTGCGAGCACAATATCCATGGACAGACCAATATCTGGACAGAGGGTGAGCATGGATGCGATGTTGGACAGATTGGTGCATACCTTCTTCTCCTAGGAACACACAGGCAAACACTGCTCAAAGGAAGTGCAAGGCTGAGAACAGGTACTTGCAATCCAAAGGGGCACTTGAGGGAGAGGGCAAGTTTGATTTTGAGGTGCAAGGAGGCACTGTCTTGTGTGCGAGCCCACCAAGTGAAGCAACCCATGAGGTTTTGCTTCACTTGGTCACTGAACCTCTCTGAGAGAGGCCTGAGCAAGAAGGGGGTGAAGGGGAGGGAAGGAGATGGGAGAAGGCATCAAGGAGACGAGGGAGGACAGCGAAGACAGGGGGGAGGACAATGAGGACACTGACAATGATGGTGGTGGTGGTTGTCATTGTCATCATGGTCATGCTTGCATCCAGCAATGGGCCAAGACCAAGAAACTGCTTGCACAGTGCTTGTCCCATCCACTTCCACTACTCCCTCCCACACCCATGAAACATCCACCAATCCTGCTTCCACCCCTCACACTCCCACCAATCCCTCCCCTGTCTACATCTGGGTAGATAACGGTTTGCCATGTGCACCATGGGCAAAAAACACAGACAGTACATGCTGTCTACAAATCAGCACTCCTGGGAGTGCAACCATTATTGGCTCCCTCCCTGTACAGATGCTGCAATGGAAGCCTTGTCATTCAATTGCATCCTGTGGCCGTCTGGCTACAATTGCCCTGGAGGTTTAGGTGATGGTGTGGAGAACCTGGTTTGACAGCGTTTGGGTCCACACATTGCCCTTGACATGTCATTCCATGGGCATGCAGCTACCACCAGCAAGTGGAAGGCAAGGCAGGCTGAATTTGATAACTGCATTTGAGTGTTGATTGGTTTGTGCTTTGCCTGGATTTAGTTCCTGTTGTGTTGGCAGCTGTATCTTTGGGAGTGGTGCTTTTGCAGGGGTGAGTAGTATCACCCTTACAAACTTGATTGTCATTACTCACCCATAGCAGGATGTTGGCTCGCTCAGGGGGCGCTGGCTTGCAAGCAGGAAAATTGCACTCTCCTGGAGATTTACCAGCGATATTGATTGCATGCAAACCTTGTGCATAACCTCCAGCACTACAAGTCACTGTTTGCCCTGTTGGACCAGGTTGTAATGCCTTACGGGCTTGGCGATTGGACAAGTGGTCACCTTCCAAGCAAAGTGATTGCCTGGGAATGAACCTTGCCCATGGCTCAATGGATAAGAGAGCTAGCATTGGATCACTGGGATTACAGCATGTCATTCTTCCACCCCAAATATGTCCCCAGCATCCCTGGTGACCTTGAAGAATTCTGTTTCCCAATGTTCCTAGATGGCTCATTCATGCAGCGCCTGGTGAATCAACAGTTCCAGGTTGACACAGGAGATCTTCGCTCAAACATCTCTCATGCAATGCAGCTGGTTGGTACATTCAATGAATTACTGCAGCTTCTGGAAAACGAGCAAACGGCAACCCCCTTGATGGGCTCAGTGCTCCAGGCCATTTCTTGCATTTGCCACACCATCCTCAGCCACCCTCCAATATTACATCCTCATGAGGCCATGACTGCGATCTGGAAACACTGCTATTCTTGCTCTTGGTCTTCTGGTTGTTACCACCCCTCTCAGTCTTCTAGTCAATACCATTGTCCTCGCTCTTATTCTCCTGGTTGTTATTGCCGCCCTCACTTGCCTCAGCATTCTCACTGCTCCCCCTCTCAAAGCAGTTATGAGTCTCGATCACACTCACCCAGATCATGTGAGGAAGAACATCATGTGTACCCTGCCTGTTGTAGATTGATGGGCTGCAAGTGTGAAATGGGTGACTTGCAGACTTCCCAGCATGCTGCCAATAAGCAGGACAACTTTGGTGCTACCCATGCTCATAATGTCATTGAGATGGAGCATGTGGTGCCCATCCTGTCATAGACCCCCCCTGCCTTGAACCATCTGCCGCTTTCGGCAGATATTGACCTGGGACCTCCACCACAATATGCCAAAAAAGAACAGGCTGTGGTTGAAGATGTCGATATGGGGAATGCTGAGGACAAAGATGACAATATATATGAGCATGGGTATTCAACACCACCACCCACTGTCCCAGTGGTCAAGTGAGGTTGGAGCAAACTCTCCAATTATGTCGATCCTCCTTCGCCTTGTCCAGCGCCAATGCCTGAGCCACTGGTGCCTGTGCAAATGCCTGCTCCCAAGACCTTCTCCTCCCCAGCTCCTGTTGTAGAATTGTCCATTACTGATCAGGCTGCAGCATCCTTGGAGTTTGAGAAGGGAACAGCCCAGCAGTTGGGCAGGGGAGACTCATGGTGTCCCCAGCTTCCCTACTCCATGGGATGTCAAAAGCCATTGCCCAACAACAAGATCTGGATCACAAAAGTGTTCCAGATTGAGATTGAGAAGTCGGACATTGCTGTTCTGGCCAAATGCTACCAGTGGCTGAATGGATTCCTGTTGTCCCAGCTATGTTGACTGTTTACTGCTTGGTGGCCAAATGCAAACTGCTATAACGACTTGCGTTCCAAGCCAGATGAAGAGGTGTATGTGTTCAGTTCACAACTGGGACCTCAGCTTCAGCAAGCAGAGAAGGCTTATGCAAAGGGGGAAGCATATGCCATTGATAACTGGGGCATGAAGTGGGTGGCAAACTGGGTCAGTAGTGCAGTGTCTGAGTACATGACAGCTCAAGCAAGGATGCAATGGTTGTTCCCCATGCATATCAATGACAACCACTGGATCCTTATTCATGTTGACTGGCTTCACAAGTACATCACTGTGTACAATTTGTTGAGGATGGGCAGCTGGTGTGATCATGTTGTGGTATGTTTTTGTCATTGATAGTCCATATTGCATTCAGCTCACTGGATACATAATGTGTGGTGGAGAGGATCTGGGAGGTTGCTGTGGAGAAAAGCAAGCCATTCCCTGGTTGGGAAGGATGGAAAGGGTGTCATGCTGAGGTGAGCTTGATGGGATGGTCACTGGAGACCTGGAGTCTGACAGCAGGTCAGGTTCCATTGCAGACCAATGGAAGTGATTGCAGTCTGTTCATCACTGTGCATGCATTTGTGATTGCCTGTGGCTACACCCATTCAACCATGATAACAGCTGACATGGCAAAATGGCACAAATGGCTGCTGCAGCATTTGGAGTCTTTGCCAGATGCCCTGGCACTTAAAAAGCTGAGGGGAAGGTTGCCACTCCTCTCTTAATGGTCCTCATTTCATTTGCTGCTTTCTCTCCTCATGTTTAGTAGTTGCTTTATGCGTCTGTTGTATGACTGTGATCTTTCCTCTTCCCATCTTGGTATGTCAGTTATGTAGGTGCATACTGATTGGGTTGGATGGATTTAATGGGTGAGCAATGTCATGCAACCATTTGGTGTCTCATAGGCTGATTTCTGACAGTAGTCTAATATCCACCATGCATAACTTGTGATTCTGTAGATAGTTCTGTGCAATACAAGGGATGGCACACCTTACAATGCAGAGCACAGATGACTTGCCCGTCAACATTGATGGATGACTGGACTTGCGTAAATAGGTGAATGATGTTTCCCAATTTGGGAACCATAAAGCTGATCATGATTGGCCTAGCAGTTTGCTGGGATCGCCAGGAGATCTGCATTCCTGTGTGTCAGTACATGCAAAATTTTCTGTGCTGTTAAATAAATACTTGCATCATGTAGTTTTGCACCTTTCCCCCCCATCACCTGAGAAATGATCCATGACTGTGTGTCCCTTTCCCCCTGTCCCCTGCCCCAGTTTTCCACTTCATCAAGATGCCTATGTCAATTGTCACCCAATCACTTGTGCAGGATGTCATCAAGCTTGGGAATTCCCAACTGCCAGAAGAGAAGAAGGTGAAGCACATTGGGGCCACAATCTGGTGTTTGGAACCCAGATGTACTGAAGCACTGGTGCCTCTGGTGCATTTGGACAAAAAGGGGGGGAAGCAGGAGAAGTATGGGGTTGTATACACCCTTGTAAGTTCTGCACCCTGTAGTTTGAACTACACTGACATCATTTGTGCAGTGTAGGAAACATAAAGAGCTTCTGATTTCATACCCAGAGGCTGCACCCAGATGACTTTGTCAAACTCCAGCACATGGTTGACAAAGCCCAGGCACAATGAAGTTCAAGCCCAGTAGGCTCAAGTCAACCGGCAAATGGTCCCTGAAAGGGAGGACCCAAGTGTCCTCTCTGCAAGGGACTGGGTTGCCAAGCTTGCTGCAAGAATTGGTGTGCCAAGTGCTGCAGGGATGAGAGAAAGTCCAAAGAGTTTGGTCACAGTGCAGTGGGCTGCCCTGTCCACAAGCCTAAGGCAGAAAAGACTGAAGGAGGTGGGGAAGCAAGAGAAGTCAATTGGTTGGATGAATGGGAGGATGGGGAGGAAAGAGGAGATAGGGAAGGGATGGAAGATGAAGTGTTGGAGGTTGGGCAGAGGGATGGGATGGCAGATCAGTCAACCTGGGGGCAGGCAGGGCACATCACAGCTCCGGGTAGGACAGCAGGAGGAAAAGGGAAGGGCAAGCAGG